CCCCCATCTGGTCACTAAGCTGGATTCTTACAACCAATAATACCAAGTCAGTGTCTTCCCTTCCATGTGAAAAGAAGCAATTTCCAGCTTGTGGTTCTCTAGGGTCTCAAAATAATTAAAGAACTGTTGCGCCTTCAATATCCATTCACTGAGATCTCCCCCATCAAAACGAGGAAAATCCAATCGAAGAGATCAAGCCTGAATTCTCCCATGTCCATCAAACAAAGGATTAGCATTTACTTTGACACTGTTAGAAGTCCCTTCCCCTGAATTGGTTTTGGTTGTAATTTGTACCAAGCTATCATAACTTGATGCCAAATTATCGAGTTGTTGTAGCACTCCTTCTATTAGCATTCCATGCTTGGATTGCTCTTCCTTCAGGGCAGTGGTTGCCCCTTGTAAAGTGTTTACTGTTTCAGATAACTGTGATAATCTTATTCCCTCAGCCATGTCGTAGGACGCCGGCTCTGATACCAACTTGTTACGCCCCAAAAATTATAAATAAATTCTAGCAATTTGAGGAGCCAGAAAAAATCTCCACAGATGCACACGACACAATTAAAATTCAAAGGATATCCTTTATTTCTAATACTCTAGCCTTTTATAGGCATTTTACATACTTGCAATAAATAGTAAATAACTGACTCTCTTAATTAGCATTTAATAGAAAATAACTGACCCATTACTTTTAAATAATAAATTATGTAACAGTTGAATTGAAAATATGCATAACTGAAAATGCCTTTAAGTAATTTCTTAACTTACGTGGCCTTATTTTACTTAAATATTTTGGGCATCTAACACCTTGAGTGAACTAGAAGTTGCATTTGACATATGTTGAATGCCAAGAAAGCATTCAATTATATGTCCATTATTGTCTACATATCGTAGAACAACTGTCATTTGTTCTTTAATTGATATATCACGTGACTCATCAATTAAAATTGAAAATAATGAGTCAACTAGATCTTTGATAATAACATTTGTAATCTTCTCTGTAGTAGCTTGAGTAATGTCCTTTTGAATATCTGGAGAAGTCAATTTATTATGTTTAGGAGCTTTACTAAAAATAATCTTTTATTAGCTTTATTATTTCTGGAAAGGAAATGCAAGAACTCTAGATAATTTCCTTGGTTGCTTGAAGATTCACATTCATCATGGCCACAAAATAGAAGTCCTTGGTGCAACAAAAAATGAGCACACTTTATTAAAGCATTTAATCGAGTTCGATAATCACTTTGACTCTTTATTGTCTGCTCGGATAACAAAGTCATGATACTTTGTTTTTCATTCATCAAATTCTCATATTTTATTCGAGCTGTATTGTGATTACTATTAGACTTTCCAATATGAAGATCAAATCTTTTTTTTTCCTCAATTTGAAAACCCATTACCCACAAATGAATCACACCCCCTTTTGACTTGAAGAGGTAACAATACAAGCAAAAGACAACATCTTTGGCTATGATGTACTCTAATCATATTGGGTATGCACCAAACCAAGTTGGATTAAAGCATCGTAGTGTTGATATATTCCTAAATTGTTTTTGAGGAAAATCATAGTGTGAAGGTTGACAGGGACCCTTTTGTAGATAAACTCTTTGGATTGCATCCCTATCATTTACATGGTATTTATAAATTGGTCTTCTTAAGCCAGGGTCACCAAGAAGAGTGTCGGTGTTGATTTCAATATGACTTTTCTTTGAACTTGATTGAGTTGCATGACTTGAAGTTTTGAATGACTCTTCATCCTTAAAGGATTTATGCTTGAAATACTTGTCTAGTGATATGTTAATTTAATATGAGCCTGTTGGATTTTTTTATCATTATTAGTGTCTATATAATAATTAGCACAACTACACAATAATTCACTATTACATAAAAGTCAGTTGAGTTACATAATATTTCTAAATCTTTCATATGAAATTCATAGCAAAATACACATCAATTCATCAAAATCAAAACCCATTTCAATTCATAACTATATACATATAATAAGTATGTTGATTAAATTATACTTAATCATTTCTATATATTTAATTGAAGAACAATGTCTAGTGTCTATATAAAAGGAACAATACTTGAAAAACATGCTTTCTACTTAATATTTATTTATAAACAAGTTATGTGAAAATATTAAATTTCAATAAATTACCTTGTCAATGCAAGAGATGCCAAGAATAATATTTTTGCATGAATATTAATTTATTCCTTTATAATAAGAAAAGAAACATTTAATTGATTAAATTAGCATATTCAAATATTTATTTTGAATACATTTGAATATATTCATATCAAAACTCTTAAATTATCATAAACCTTAATATTTTTAATAACTAATTATAAAAGAATAAAATTAAAATTAGATAATAAAACAAAATTAAAATTAGATAATAAAACAAATAGAAAAAATGAAGGGAATTTAACTAAAACAAAAGGCCCAAGAGTTTAATTGCTTAACTATATTTGAAGAGAAATTTGCATATGTAAGAGAGGTAGGAACAACAGCTCAAAAGAAAAAAGAGACTCTTGGTTAGATAGGGTAAGAAAAGGAAAGAAAAGGAAAAAAATTAGGGAAATGAGCTAGACATATTATATATATTATATTAAGATATAAGTCAAAAATAACAACTTTCCTTTCTTCTGTGTATCAATTATTCACAAAACTAGTACATTAATATTTTAATATAAAAAATATTAAAAAATAATTAAGATGATAATTGCTTCCTTTTTTGTCCATGTGTGGCTTGCCACTGCCGCATCCTAGTTTTATGATTAATGTCTTATTTATTAGATATGTTTATCTGAGTTCTATCCCTCCATTTGATATTAGGTGAGACATATTAAATGTTTAATTTTTTTATCAACATATTTTCAATTAAAAGATTATTAAAAATCTTTATATATAAAAAAATTAGAAAACTTTAATAATATCGGATAAAAGAACAAAAAATTAAAATTTTAAAAGTCTAATAATATTGAAAAGAAATATAAAATAGAAAAACTTTTTTTTTGAAACAAGAAAACAGAAAATCCTAATAATAATAAATAAAATAAAAAAAAATTTAAATAAAAAATAACTATATTTGTTATTATTCAAAACCTTAAAAAATAAAAACATCATAACTATGTGGAGATACATAAAAATTTAAATTTTATTTATCAAAGTGTTGTTTTTATTAAAAGGTTATTAATATAAAAAAAATAGAAAAAATTAATAATAGCGAATAAAAAAACAAAAATAATAAAAATTAAAAAGTGTAATAATATTGAATATATAGACAAATAAAATATGAAAACTGTTTTTCATGATATGAAAAACTACAGAAGTCTAATAAAAAAACAAATAAATAAATTCTTAAATAAAATAAAAAAATAAAGAAAAATATTTATTTTCTTAAAAACTACTTTCCTTGTCTATGATCAAGTTTACTGCCTTCGAAATATGAGTACTGCGGTTTTGCAGTTTCGCATTTTTTTTATTTAATTGCACCTTTATTGTTTTAAATTATTAGTCAATGCTCCTAATTTTCTTTCTACAAGTTTTCATCCATGGCTATCGTCTGAAGGCTGACCATGTAAATGTCATTCCAATATTCTTTCTACAGGCGGAAACTTTTCAGAGTGGATTCATTTGATTGATAAGAGACCAAGGAAATAACAAAAACTTTAACCACGTGAATGTTCTTCCACACTCGAAATTTCATGGGAAACCCGAAGGCATCCAATTAAGACGCAACTGTCTATCTTCTTAAGAAATTTTCGATCATGACCAAGACAAATGAATTACTGCAAAAGGGTATTTCATCTTATGGCTCCCATATATATGCAAGTATGCAGGGCTAATCATTTTATCCATCCTCCATAAGAAAGTAAACCACCAAGGCCATGGCTTCCCATATCTTGCTCATATCCATACCTTCGTTGTTTTGCTCCTTTCTTGCTTATGCTTCCTTCACTTCTTTTGCTTACTCGGCTACTGGAGCTGAAGTAGCAAATGGAAGGAAGGAAGCAGAAGCTCTTCTAAAATGGAAAGTCAGTCTTGACAACCGAAGCCAGTCTCTCCTGTCTTCTTGGGCTGGAGACAGCCCTTGCAACTGGGTTGGAATCAGTTGCGACAAGTCTGGAAGCGTCACCAACATAAGTCTTCCTAATTCTAGTTTGAGAGGTACCCTAAATAGTCTCAGACTCCCTTCCTTTCCTAACTTGACTGTGATTATCCTTCGCAACAACTCGCTCTATGGGTCCATCCCTTCACGTATAGGTAACCTTATCAAACTTGATTTGTCTTCAAATAGCATTTCTGGCAACATACCACCAGAGGTTGGAAAATTAGTATCTCTTTATTTGCTTGATTTTTCAAAAAACAACCTTAGTGGTGTTCTTCCTACGTCCATAGGAAACTTAAGCAACTTGTCTTTTCTTTACCTTTACGAAAACAAACTCTCTGGTTTCATACCTAGGGAAGTAGGAATGCTTGAACATCTATCTACCCTTCACTTGTCCAGAAATAATTTTGAAGGTCCAATCCCTACTTCCATAGGAAACATGAGATCTCTCACCAGTTTATTTTTGTCATCTAATAATCTAACTGGTGCAATACCTGCATCTTTAGGAAACTTAGGAAACCTGACTAGTTTAGATTTGTCATCTAATAATCTAACTGGTACAATACCAGCATCTCTAGGCAATTTAAGAAGCTTATCTGAACTTCACCTTGCGAAAAACAGTCTTTTTGGTCCTATTCCTCCAGAAATGAACAACCTTACACATTTGTATTGGTTACATATATATTCTAATAGATTGTCTGGAAATCTACCACGAGATGTGTGTCTTGGTGGATTACTTTCACATTTTGCTGCTTTGGACAATTATTTCACGGGACCTATCCCGAAAAGCTTGAGAAATTGCAGCAGCTTGTTGAGACTCAGACTTGAGAGAAACCAACTTAGTGGAAACATTTCTGAAGCTTTTGGCACACATCCTCACGTGTACTACATGGATTTGAGTGATAATGAATTGCATGGTGAACTTTCATTGAAATGGGAGCAGTTTAACAATCTGACAACCTTCAAGATTTCTGGAAACAAGATTTCTGGAGAAATACCAGCTGCTCTTGGAAAGGCAACTCATCTACAAGCTCTTGACCTGTCGTCAAATCAATTAGTTGGGAGAATTCCAAAAGAATTGGGAAGTTTAAAGTTTATTGAACTTGAACTCAACGATAACAAACTATCAGGTGATATTCCTTTCGATGTCGCATCGCTATCTGACCTCGAAAGGCTTGGCCTGGCCGCGAACAATTTTAGCGCAACAATTCTTAAACAGCTTGGCAAGTGCTCAAAACTGATATTTTTTAATATGAGCAAGAATAGCTTCGCAGGGATTATTCCTGCTGAGATGGGGTCTTTACAGTCTCTTCAAAGTCTTGATCTTAGCTGGAATTCCCTGATGGGAGGTATAGCACCGGAGCTTGGACAGCTGCAGCGGCTAGAGGTATTAAACCTCTCCCATAATATGCTGTCTGGTCTCATTCCAGCCGGTTTTAGTAGACTGCAAGGCCTCACTAAAGTGGATGTATCCTTTAACAAGTTAGAGGGTCCCATTCCTGACATCAAAGCCTTTCGCGATGCGCCATTTGAAGCAATTCGCAACAACACCAACCTGTGTGGCAATGCTACCGGTTTGGAGGCTTGTTCTGTTCTCATGAAAAACAAAACTGTGCACAAGAAGGGCCCCAAAGTTATCATTTTGACGGTCTTTTCTCTACTGGGTAGTTTGTTGGGCCTGATTGTAGGTTTCCTTATCTTTTTCCAAAGCAGAAGAAAGAAAAGGCTAGTGGAAACACCACGAAGAGATGTTCTCGTGGGATGGTGCACTCGTGGGGATCTGCGCTCCGAGGACATCATTGAGGCTACTGAGGAATTCGACTCCAAATATTGCATTGGTACTGGAGGGTATGGAGTTGTTTACAAAGCTGTTCTTCCATCAGAACAAGTCCTTGCCGTGAAGAAATTCCACCAAACACCAGAAGTTGAGATGAGCAGCTTGAAAGCTTTTAGAAGCGAGATTGATGTCTTAATGGGTATACGGCATCGAAACATTGTGAAGCTGTATGGTTTCTGCTCGCATGCCAAACATTCATTTTTGGTATATGAATTTGTGGAAAGGGGAAGTTTAAGAAAGGTACTGAACGACGAGGAACAAGCAGGAAAGATGGATTGGGATAAAAGGATGAATCTTATCAAAGGCGTAGCCAATGCTTTATCCTACATGCACCATGACTGCTCCCCTCCGATTATTCATAGAGACATTTCCAGCAACAATGTTCTTTTGGATTCAGAATATGAGGCTCGTGTCTCTGACTTCGGCACAGCAAGGCTCTTAATGCCTGACTCATCCAATTGGACATCATTTGCTGGCACCTTTGGGTACACGGCTCCAGGTATGTAGTTAAGTTTCAATTTCACCTTCTACAGTAGGTTAGTTTACAAAATCACTTGAAAACAAAATAGGTGCAGTAAATTAGTTTGGCAAAATATAGCGTGACCACGTACCCTCTTTTGCAGAGTTGGCATACACAATGAAAGTGGATGAAAAATGTGATGTGTATAGCTTTGGAGTATTAACATTGGAAGTAATGATGGGAAAGCATCCTGGCGATTTCATCTCATCTCTGATGTGTTCTGCTTCCACCTCCTCCTCATCATCACCAAGCGGTCACAATACACTCTTGAAGGATGTTTTAGACCAGCGCCTCCCACCTCCTGAAAACGAGCTTGCGGACGGTGTGGCACATGTTGCAAAACTGGCGTTTGCTTGCTTGCAGACCGATCCCCATTATCGGCCAACAATGCGACAAGTTTCTACAGAGCTTACAACTCGTTGGCCACCTTTGCCAAAGCTATTCTCCACGATAGAATTGGAAGATGAACTGGTTCACAGAAATGTTAAGGGTTGAATTTTTACAGTATACTTTCCTGTCAAGGAGCCAGTAACTCCGGTGGTAATAGAGTCCCACACCATTCAAGTGGAGTTATTATCTGTCTTGGATATTCAGTCCAACGTCTTACATTTCGTCTGTTTCTTCGCCTACTGCTTGTGTATATTAAATGCAGAAACAAGAAAAAGAGCTTTCCCATTTCGAACTTAAATTCGCCAGATGAAATATTTCACATATTTTTAGTTTTTGTTTCTAATAAACGAAAATGAATTATAATAAGCTATTGATTTTATTTATTTTTAATTGGTAATGATAATAAGCTTCTTTCAATATTGCCATATTAGTAATACAACTAAAAATCTTGACGATTTAATACAAACCACTCCCATTAATTTCCACAATCAAACAAAACTTGTCCTAAAAGAAGTGGCCAATGCTTTCTATTTTCTTAAATAATCGACAAAATTTCCAAATTTGAGATTTCATAGCAGATGTCGCCATTGATAGGTGAAGCCCAAAGACAAGGTTTTTATTTTTTATTTTTTTTTCTCAAAGGAAACTTCCCTTCAAGAATGACAAACTACAGTTGTCGTGTCATTACTATTCAGAAGGAAATTTTGGACTGAAAAAGACAACTAGAACCATAGCATCATTACCTAAGAAACTTGTCCCTGCTAATCAGATTCTTCTCGCAAGCAGGTGGCAAAACAAAATTTAATTACGTACTATTCATAAATAATAAACTATTTAATTATATTTATCATATATTTTTAAATATTGTAATATCTATTATAACTATATTTATTTATATCATCTTTATTATTTTTAAACAGAAATAATGATATCTTTTACACTTATTAAAAATATCTAACTCAAATTTTATAAATTTTAATAGCTTTTCAACTTTATACACTACACCATTAAACAATTTTACCGACGAACTAATTCCATCGGCAACAGGAATGAATTCTGTTGGTGAAATTATTACCGATAACCTCACCGATAGAACACGTCTGTTGGTATAATAGTCGTTAGTAACTCCCCTTTCCGTCGCTAATTATGTAAAAAATAAAAATAAAAAACCACCCACTGACAGTCTTATAGATGGATACGCGGGCCAAAAAAAATTTTCCCATGAGAACATTACTGACGGACTAAATCCATATGAATTTTCAATAGTAATTATCGACGGATACTCCATCGGTAAATATGGTATCGGTGGTAATTGTTTCGCAACTCTCTTTGAAATACCGATGGAAATTATCCATCAGTAAAGCCATCCATATTTAAACACCGACAGAATATGTCCGTCGGTAATTATGGTATCGTTGGTAATTGTTTTGCAACTCTCTATAAAATACCGACAGACTATTTATGTTTATAAAGCTGTTGGTATTTATTTAAAATATATAAAAATAATAATTTATTAATAGTAAAAAAGCTTAATAAAGAAATAAAATTGGATTAAAAATGAAAAATATAAAAATAATATTAAATAAAATTAATCAAATATTCATTATAAATTTAATGTATTTAAAAAAAAAATTAAGCTAGAATAGCAGCGGAGTTGAAGGAGGAGGAGGAGAAGGAGGGGGAGGAGGCTAGTTGTTCCCGAGACCATATAGCTAAAAAGAAGCTACACAAGTATCATCACCCATCTTTGATCTCATCTCCATGACTATTTGATGGAGCTCATCATAATTCATCAAGAGTTGTTGATATTGTTGTTTCAAGGCAATGAACTCTTTAGACTAGGTACTCGATATTGATAGAGAGCTCTCAACGGTTAAGACACTGCGGGCCGAATGCAAGTTTTCAGCCATAGTGTTGGAGAGCCCATAGACCTGATTTTTTTTTGGTCCACCAAATGATCCCACCTCCAACCATAAATCTGGATCAAAATATGGATGGGTCGAAGGATTGTCCTCATATCTATCCCTTAATCGGCTATTATAAGTCTCTTAAATTTTTTTAAAAGAATCATCCTATGCAATTCAAGAAAATAATAACTTATAAAATAAAATGAATGAACGAATATACCACAAAGTGCTAAGCATGGCTGTCCACGAACTGCTGCACCCCTTTTTGGCGGTCTTGACTCCTCATATAAATCTCTACAAACAACTCCATTAGACTAGGCTCACATCCAAGAGATGCAACCCGTAAGGAAAAAATAGGTTGAAAGTTAAATATATTATAAGGAATGATAAATTAATTAATGATATATTTTTTTAAAATTAATCTTACCGTCCGCTTTGCATGTGTGTTGAATAGGACGGATCTACTAGTGTGCGTGGTCACTGAATCATGAATTTATCGGTTCTAGTTGTTAGTGTAGGACTACGAGCACCGTGAGAACCGCTCTGAGGTCACGTGTTCAATATATGCATCCATATTTCCCCCGAGATGAATGACAGTTTGAATTCCCGCCAAACCTCAACCTCATTCCATCCTTCAAGACCATAATTCCTCGTATGTCTTTTTGATTTTTTTAGGTGTCATACCAAAAATAATGCAACCTACTTCTATAGTAACAAATTAAAATTTAAAACATAAAATTATAAAACAAAAAATAAATGTTATTTTTGATATTATCTAGTTGTTGCGTGATTCTCTCATGCCGCCTCACAACATTGTTGTTCACCCTATCTCACTCAAATTTGTTCTATGTAGATAAATAATTTATATAAAATAAAAATAGTACAAGATATAAAATTATAAAAAATATTTATTAAAAATAAGCTGGAAATTAAAAATTAACACCAACCTAAAATCGCTTAAACCATGCATCGATATTAGGTTTCCACTCAGGATGTCTGAAAACCTAGCTCCATTGAAACAATGGAATCTCCATTGATGATTTAAATGCCAATGTTATAGCCCTTGCAGCCTCAATGTTTGTGAACCTGAAATTAAATAAAACTAATAATATTAATTATTTGTTCATAAATTATGTTATAAGTGTGTGTGTGTGTGTGTGTGTAAACTAAAACCTGAACAAACTTACATTAAGAGGTCATCCTTCCATTATGCCCAGTATTTGCAGGCAAATTGACCCCGATATGAAGGCACACCACTTCTGCGCTGTGAAACCACGCTAGAAGAGGCAGAATCACAAGTTGGCATAGATTCCTTGCCGTGATCAACACCTAAGGATATGTCCTCCTTGCTGCTAGAAGAACTATCTACAACCGTCTGCTGACGATGTGCTGTAGATTTCATTATACGCATCTACATAAATTTGTACGAATAATTACATAATTAACTTTGATTATTTAAAAAAAATCAACAGAGTCTCCTCTATACTAGGAGGTAACAAGTTATTGACAGATCATATTACACTTCCAATTTTATTTCACATCCTGATCTAATCATCTTGGATCTCAACCCAACTCATCATCATCAACACAAAACATCTTATTCAACAACATCATATAATAAAATTCAAATAAAAGAATCAATTTCAACTATGAACATTCATTGTTAAATTGGTAATTAAAGTTACAAACATTAGATTAAAGTCATACATTCAAATTTACGGATTAATATTACATTTCAAGTTTTAAGAGACAAAATTCTTAATTTATAAATAATTACATGGTCAAAAGCAAAAGGTAACTAAATCAATAGCATTCCTGACACGACCCTAATGGACCTCAAAATAGAAATTAATGTGTACACATAAATATAAAAATGTAATAACAAGCAATAACAATGATAGGTAAACAATAATATCATAAAATTAAGATAAATTAATTAAATTTAATTCTATATTTCAATTAACATTTAAAACATAAATTCAACAATAATAATTATAGCAATACAAACAATAATATCCTAAATTAAGATAAACTAATTAAATATAATTCTATATATGAATTAACATTTTAAACATAAATTCAATAATAACAATTCTAGCAATACAAACAATAATATCATAAAATTAATAAATAAAATGAAAAAACTAAAAAACAATATACAAAACAACCTAAACACAAAACAAACAATACACAAAACTAAAAAATACTATATCAATTTAAAATAAATTTAGGTATAAAAAATGCTTACCTTAATAGTGTGTTGAATTTAAGATTTTATCTACAAACAATACACAAAACAAAGAACGCCAAAAAAAATCATAATTAAAATAAAAAAATACAAAGATAAAGAAGAAAGAATACATACCTTTTAAAACTACCACCAAAACAATAAAATCTCTTCCAAAAGCCGAATAGAAACGGAGAGGAGAAGAGAAATGGAGCCGAGAGAAAAAAATGAATCAAATGGGTGGAGGGAGGAAAAAAGAATACATACCTTTTAAAACTACCACCAAAACAATAAAATCTCTTCCAAAAGCCGAATAGAAACGAAGAGGAGAAGAGAAATGGATAAGAAGAGAAATGAAGCTGAGAGAAAAAAATGAAACAAATAAGGGGGTTTATATATCAATATTTTCAATGGAATTACCGACGGACATTTATTGTTGTTGGTGGCATTAAATTCTATCAATAATTTCATCGATAATTAATTGATCTGTGCACCAAAAAAGTTTGGAAATACCACCGGTGGACTCCGTCAATAATGTATATCAATAATGTTGTCGGTGATTGTGGCACAATCCTGTAAATTTTTTTCAACTCTTTGTGAAATACCAACAGGTTATATTCCGTCGGTGATAGTGGCACAATCCTGTAAATATTTTTGAACTATTTGTGAAATACCTGTGGATTATATTCCGTCAGTGTACCCATCGGTGAAATCGTCAATAGTTCTTATTTTTTTGTGTATCCCCTTCACAAAATCTTGAATTGCAATCTTACAATATAATAACAAGAGCTGACCATTAAAGAAGAATAAATATTTCATGTTCCAAAATATTATATTATAAAAATAAGACTTTAGAACATGTTTAGTTAGTCAGAATTTTCATCTTCGTCCTCAATTGAATTGTTATCATCAGCTTCATCACACTTTTCAATTTTATTATCATCTTCTTTAACAACATTCTTTTTTCCACTAGTAGAACTCAGAACAACATTCAACTCCTCTACGTCAACATTAACAAGACTATTGTTGAAAACACAAAAATTCAAATTTTCTTCTAAGTCAATTAAAGGAGCAACTTGGTATGGTTCAACCAACTAACTAGCATGAAAGACTTCATCTATCACACTTATGTCTTTGTTCTCATCTTAAACAACCTAGACACAACCCTTGAGTTTTGTTTTTAAAATGA